GGACGATCTATAGCGTAACGAGGGGGTTCAATAAGATCCTTCGAGCAAGCATAAGAATGGTGACCTTGCGCACCACAGCGGTTGCAGACACCTTTTAGGGGACATCTTGTATTTGAATGTCCCCACCAGTTACATTCTTTCATTCATTCATTCTTTCTTTCTTTCTCTCTTTCTTTCTTTCTTTGTTTTTTTCTCTCTCTTTCTTTCTTTCTCTCTGTTATTTCCCTTTCTCCCCTTTACTCTTTTATGTTATAGATATTTTCCTTATATCAGCTTAAGTTTCCCATCTCATTTTCACTTGTCCGGTAGACGAGTTTCACGAATATAAATTTTACGTAATCCCAAACCATTGCGCAATAGTCCCCTTCACAGTTCCCTGCGCCATCTTGAAAGGTAGCCATGCCTTTGCATCAAAGCGAGACGAACGGCGAGTTTGCAATGATAGAGACAATAATTGTACAAGGTGTTTTAAAAAGGTTTCTATCATTGCAAGCTCGCCGTTCGTCTCGCTTCGATGCAAAGGCACGGCTACCTTTCAAGATGGCACAGGGAACTGTAAAGGGGACTATTGTATATACCTGACTATAAACTATGCGCGTGCGAAGGGAATTTTTTTGAATCTTATAAAATGTCTGTTTAATACGCTGACTGATATAAGCTTATGTCAATAATGGGTGGCGTTTGTTAAACCACCTTTCCATGTGGTCTAGTTTTTTATGTATCTAATCACTCGGCTTAGACAATAAATGTCATTTATTTTCTCATTCTCTTATCAGTGAAATTGCAAACAGGAAAGTAGAAGTCGTTTAGTCTAAAAGTTTAATGCCTTTATAGAGCGTGTGCAACCACATGGCTCAAAATTAATCCCTTGAGATATGAATAACAATGAAACAGCGGCCATCTTGGTTGATCTAACAAGAGGAGTTAATGAAGAATGCTTCGTTATCGTCAACCAAGATGGCTGCAATGACGTAACATGAGCTTGCTCTATTCTATGCCTGTTTCAGTGGACGATATTGAACAATTATATACAAGGAATATAAAATTTTTCATGCTTCAAATATTCCAGCTGTTTTTCAGAATACTGGAGTTATCGACAAGAAATATTTGATAATAAAAAAAATCCTGAATGATACTCTTATTTTTTATATATTGTCTCATTTTGGTAGCTAGACATTTTCTTATCGCGAGGTACAATTTCCATACAAGGCAAGAATGTCACCGAACACGGCATATGAATGTTTTCCACATCGTTCGTAGCTTCCAATGGCGATTCCACGATGGTTGGGGGAAGGCTTGTCCTTACGCTTTTGTTTGAAAAAATCATTCTTTTCGTCGTATTTCTTAATGGTAAACGTAACTCTCTTTGTGCGATCCTTCGGCTTTCCTGGATATCTTTTTCTATTGCCTCTGCTACTGTATAGTTCGCGGTCCAAGAGAAGGCGCGCTTCCGATGAACGCGTACATTTGGCGTGCCACTTTGTGATGAGTTCGATGAGCTTGTGTCGAAAAATAGTCTTGAAGGAGTTTCTGGAGCTGGGCGTATTGCAATGCTAATGGATGACATCCTTCTGTTCTTTGTCGAAAGGATTGGTAATGACTGTGCCCTTCTTTTCCGAGGCTGCCTTTCCAGAGTCTGTAGAGAAGTCGACCTTCCTCGCATCATTTCCTTGAAGGTTGAAGTTCGCATGCAATAAACAACAGGGTTTATGCAGCAGTTAATGTAACCAAACCAGTATGCAAATCTTCCTAAGGCGTTCGGTAAGTCTGAAGGACTCTTCAAGCAAATAGCCATCGATATCAACAGAAAAAATGGGCTCCAACAAGTCACGAACGTGCCAAACATCAGACATAATGTAATTGTTAGTTTTTTCTTAACAGGGATAATCTTACGGATATTGATTGTGCCTGTATTACTCAGACGTCGTTCATGATGGTTCACTTTACTGTAAATACGCCAATAGGCGTAAGTCATGAGAGATAATGGTATAATGAAGGCCGTTGTGGCCAACACAGCCAGGCGAAACTTCTGCGTTATCGACACAGGAAAAGAAATCCCACAATGGGCTGTTGTTGAGTTAAAAGTCATGTAATCCCAACCCGAAAACGGGCCAAGCGCTATAAAAGAAACCATAGCACAAATGATCCAAATCCCAACTAAACAGAGCTTCGGCCTCTTGTCTGTGAATTGCAAAAACGTACAAATTGTAGGCTTCACAACCGTGAAGTACTTGTGAGTTGTTATCAATGATAGCGTAAAAATGGACGCGCAGAAAAAGAAGTTGTTCAGAAAGCCGCTTGTTATGCACCACCAATGATCGCCAAAAAAACGTCGTTTGATACTGACAGCTAAAGGAAACGGTGTGCAAAGAGCTAGTGCTCCAATATTAGCCAGTGCCAGGTTTAAAATGAACATGACAGTCGGATTTTTTAGATTGTTACTTTTTTGAATAATACTACAAACATAGCCGTTACCTGCGAGTCCACAGAGGACGATAACGACCAGAGAAACTGTTTGAATAATCGAGGCTTCAGTGGAATAAATAAAAGCGTTTCTATCAAGGTTTGATGAAGAATTACTAGAAGAAATATTGGTCTTCATTTTTAATGCCATTCAGCGTTGTTCTGGGAAATTGTACAATATACGATGTCCACGTCAGAGCGGCTGTGCTTTGTAAACTCTAGAGACTCAGCGATGTCCGATAACTTGACAAAAGAAGTGCCATAAAATCTGCCATATGGATGACTAAACGTCTTTTAACGTCCGTTTTATAATAAATGCAACATTGAAATTTCCTGTCAGTTTGTGTGTACTATTCAGAATAATACTTGAATCCCAAGCAGGATGCTGGCAAAAATTTGTTCAATTAAAGTCCACAAATTTGCACACACACAAAAAAAAAGACTCGGGAGATGTGAAGGACACTGCTAGGTTGCAATAAAAACCTTTAAGCACGAACTGAGACTTCAGTCAGCTGACTGACGTCCAGTCAATAGCAAATCACAATAGAGATGGAACATAATCACGAAAAGCATTAAATTATCGCCCTGGGGAATTAGAAAATCTTCATGTAGCACCCTTACAAACAATTTTTGTTTGTTTCGTGTCAGGTTCGTTTTCACCGTTTGTCGATATTCGAACGCTTGTTATTGCCAGATATCATTGTGTAATTTGGTCTTAACGCTTGTTATTGAAGATATCATTGTGTATTTTGGTCTTAACCATCATCACCGAGTAATGTACATAGATTTTATCGGACATTTATCATCTCCAGACACAAAATACTACTTGATGCACACCTGTAATGTTTTCCGAACAAGCGTAAAAAAAAGATTATTTCTGATGCATGAATAATGACTCTACTAATTAGTACAACCTCATACGTTACTTAGGAAAAACATTAATGTTAAGCCTTTCTTGTAAAATACAATTAGCATTACTTTTGATGATTTTCGTAACATATGCTATATTCGCTTTTTATAATGTTTATTTTTTTCCCCTTCTAAATCATTAGCACACAGCTAAATACATGTTTTCATAACTTTTTTTCTGAAAGGGGCTCTAAATAATTCGGAAAAYTTAGCTTAGATTTTCTCTTCTTTTATAAGCATGTTTTTCTGTTATTCCATTAGCGTCCGGAATTAATTTTAAACCGTTTCTAACCGCAAATATAACGGAAGCAGTACTGTTTTAATAAAAAGCGAAGCATAAAACAAATATACATTTAATCAAGTCTCTAGGGAAACTCCGACTTTTGTGACATTTGATCAAAGACCGAAAAACAGAGACTTTTTTGAAAAACTCCACCGAGTTTATAACTTTGTATGCAATGAAAATGGTTTTGACTTAGAAGAGGAATCAAGTGACGACGAAAAGTGTCGTTTGCGCGTGAAAGTGATTGTGGAGATTCTAGTTTTCAGCGAAACGTTTTCAAATCTGTACTTGCGTGCTGAACAGAACACGTTCTTTTTTGTGGGTCATGCACTTTACCATCGCAACTATTCTAAAATTAGCTACTGATAATGACATTTTAAAATATAAAACACTCTCCTAATCTTATCCTCGATTCTCCCGGTAACGAAATAAGCCAATGATCAAGTACTGTACAACAATACAATGATTAACCGTACGTTGAGAATGACTCGTTATCACCAATTTTCTCAAAAAAAATTCCCTAGTCAGTGTTTATGGTTAATGGTTATGGTTTTCTTCGCGTTTGACTACCAAATTTGGGACTCTTTATGCTAAGAATTAAAGTTAACTTATTTTAGCGTTTCTAGGTCTGAGTCGAGTTCAAGTTACACTGTCACTTAAAATTCCAATTCTTATCTAATTAACGCTTTCGTTCTTATTTGGATAAAAATACGAAAACAAAAGGCATATAAAAGCCTTCAATCATTAAAAGTGATTTTAGCACAGGATAATTGAAAACAGAAAGGTTACATTTATCGACTAAAGCTGACTTAGCTTCAGCGTGTTTTGTTTTAACTTCCGCCTTTCTAAGAACGCTTTCCTCAGACTCTTAACCAAAAGGCTGATCAATAGTCTCAGTAGCGTGCTAAGTAGAATATTTGTTCTCATTTATGTTTTATTTTAGGTCCAATTCTTTTTAATAAATTTTAAATGAATTCAGAACCAGTGGGGTGTCCGTGCCAATCAGTCGCGATATTTGTCAATGATATCTAGAATATCAGCTGACGCGCGTTGTATTTTTGGCAGCGTGCAAAGATGGCAGAATTTCGCAGGTCACTGAGACAACCAACAAACAAATATCGGTTATAAGCACCCGACGTCTATATGCCCATTAGCCTCAGTGCTAACACAAAAACCCTCCTAGCCAGAAGTTTTTAACTATAACTACTTCTGTTCTAGGCCTCTGGAATCACACGTTCATGGCGTTTATGATACATATAAGATTGATTGGCAAAACAAAAAAATGAATAAAAGGATGGAATGACCGTTTTCCAGTTCAACCAAAACCGCCGGTCATAAGCCCATCAAAAAACCTTACGAAAGATTTTATTTCTTCTCACGAATGATTGTACTAGCCCTAGGCTTGGATGTGACCTGGGAGAAATTACTGGTTCGACGGCGGTATTTTACGGCAGTCCTATTGATTGATTGATTGATTGGTCGATAGATCGAGAGCGTTCTTCCTTTCTTCCTTCCTTCGAGTTAGGGTGGAGTACTCTGCTCCAGTCTCGCTCGATCAATCGGCGCAACCATCATATTGTACAGCGGCTTTCTACATTTTTCTAAAATGGCGGCTAAATTTTCAAGGTTTCACGAGGATCGTTCTTATGAGGTAATATAACGACATTATTCTTCTTCATATCCAGTGCTTGACTTCTCTTATCCGCTCTTTAGGCTTTGAACTGTTAATTTTATTCTGTATTGTACAGACTGGTGATCATGATATGTTTACACAAGAAGATGATGAATTCGAAGTAGAAAAAGCGACTTTGGATGTTCCAATATCTGAGGTAGGATTAGAGATTAGAGACTTGAATCCTTTATCTGCTCTTTATCTAACAAGGACACTTGAAATCATACCCTTTCTAAATATACTGCTGCAAGTCTACTTCTATAATCAGATGTGGTGTTTATCGTCTGGGTTTTTAAATAATATAATAATTTGGCTTCAARAAATGTGTTAGAAATCCAAAGATATAAATAGCAGGGTGTTTTATAATTCATAATTATTATTATCTCAAAATGTAAGGGAATAAATGTATTTTGCTCAGTATAGTGTTTTCTCATTTCAGTCCACCTGTCATTCTCTTGAGAATGATGTCTTTAAGGAGATGTATTATCAATAAACCTAAAGATAATCTCTTCCACATGTACTTCATAAAATGGGAAGACACTTCAATCATGTTGAAGTGATCTACTGCGATCATAGATAAATATTGTTGCATTTCTTAGAAGTTGGAGTCATTTTCATGCAATTTATTTTCATGCAACATTTACTGTACCCAAAATCCTACAGTTTTTCAATTTGTTGCTTGTAATTATTCTTTGTTAGTACTGCACGCATTATGTCATCCTCATCCTAGGATAATAAGGGTTATCAGCTCATTGTAAAGATGGGTTGGAAGTCAGGAGAAGGACTTGGAAGAAAGCTTCAAGGTATGGAAATCTTTCAGCAATTTCTTTTATACAAAAGTTGTTTGCATCTAGGCGTGACTACCAGACATCAAAATATGTTCTAACTGTTTCATAAGAAAGCTAGACTTTGTAAAAGACAATGTTTCGCTGTCATCTTTTAAGTCTTTTACAACCACCAATCTTTTTTTGCAGTCAGAACATAGAAACAGCAGTTCTATCTGAAATTAATCACCTGACCAAAATGATAACTGTTGTAAATGCACACAAGTAAGAGGAAAATAGTCCCTTACCTGAATCTGCTTGAAAGATTTCAAGTTGAGGTTGCACTTGATGAAACACAGTAAATGCATTTATGAACAAATTTATGGATTCAAAACTTGATTTAGAACCATCATTCCATAGTGGAAAAATACAATAGCTTGTTATCCTTCACTGCACATCAAAACTATTGTATTTTTGCAAAGTGCTCCTCAAAGTTGAATCAAATGAGTCAAATCAAAATGCTTTAGGGGTCATAAGAAAGCAGTTTATACTAGCTACATATAGAGAACAAATATCTGTATATTTTCTTATATTTGCTATGAAATTCATTTCAAATTAATGAGACCCACAAGGCCCTTTGGTCTTGGAATGCACTATTCAGTATTCAAATTTTTTGAAATAGCTGTAATACATATTACATATCGTGTAAACAGGAAGAACAGAGCCAATTCCCATCGTACTCAAAGAAGATTTCACTGGAATTGGGAGAATGAAACTTGAGGTATTCACATTTCAATGAGTACAGTCATAGTACAGTACTGCCCTGCAATAATATTATAATAAATCTTGTCCAAATAAAGCTTTCACTTGTACCATTAAAAGTTCTTAGATCATGTGTGCAAGATTTGTAATTCAATAGTTTGCTTTATATATACCGATTATAAGGTACATTTTTGTTACTGCTGCCTCACAAACTTGGTTGGAATTTATTTTTAATTATTACTAGCGGTAACTAGTTGAGACTGAGTTGGTGTGTTGAATACAACAAGCAAATAGGAAGAAAATGTAAACACTGTGTAAAAGAGTTTGTAAATTAATACTGATGTTTCAGACATTAGCCCTTCGCTGGAGTAAAAGTGGATATTTTGTTTACAGTTTCAATTTTTTATGAGAAATTTTGTTTTTGTTTGTCAGATTGAACATGCTGAAGAGACCACAAGCAAAAGAAAAACTCTTGAGATAGAGAAGGAAGAGACAGAAGAATTAAAGCAGAAATATCTGGTATAAAAGTTTATAGATTTTAGTCTTCAAATCATTTGTTTTATAGGATAACTGTTATTATTAGGTCTTGAAATAAATATATAAGATCATGAACTGCTGAAGAGTCCTGGTGACAAAGTGAGCTTTTTACGAATTACTGAGCCTGAGAATCTTGCTCAATAGTACCGGTGCACTCTCTGAATGTACCATTTTTCAGCCAATACACATGTGTAGGCATCTTCTTTAGATTTTCCTGCCTTATTCATAGGTTTAGTAAAAACTTTTTGGGGGGACAGCCACCCCCTTGCCTCCTTGATATGCCACGTAAGAAGAACATTTAATATTTTAAATATTTTTTTAAATTTTCCTTTAATTTTTGATGAAGATGAAACAAGAGAAGGAAAAGGTTATTGAGGAAAGTCTTCAAGATCTCAAGGACATGTTTTACTGTGAGCTATGTGATAAACAATATTTCAAGTACAAAGAATATGACAACCATATCAACTCCTATGACCACGCACACAAACAAGTAAGTAATTATCAAATATCATTTAAATAAATAATAATAAACATGATAAAGAGGATTTAGCAGTTGCACTTCTTTAGAGAAGCTCTTCATCCACTGAAATTCCAATAAATTTTTTGGTGGGAGGGAAACTGAAAAACCCAGAGAAAAACCATTGATGAACAGGAGAGAACCAACAATCATCTCTACTCACATACCTATACAACACAGAGCCCAATGAGACTTGAACCTGGGCTGCATTGGTGAGAGGCAAGCAATCCAACCACTATGTTACCTGAGCTAACTTTATGTTGAACAGCGTGTAAAGTTGAAACTTCTGTCAATCAATTCAAGTTTACAAGCTTAGATCACTCAAAAATCTCTACAATGGAGTCCTGTTATCTYGAACCTTCTGGAGACCAGGGAATTAAAGGTTCAAAATTGTAATGAGGCTTGARATATCCTGCTTAAAATTTTTATGATGCAAGTACTGGTCCAGATGGTGTGGTTTCGAGATCAAAATAATGGGAAATTTGAGATATCCAGGGCTTACATTTTATAGTTGAGCCCGCACTATTGTGTTTTGAAAATAACATGATTGTATCGTGACGTGATTGTATCGTATCCCTCCCCCCCCCCCCCCCCCCCCCATGTAAATTATCACTAAATCCAAACTGCTTACTCATTTTTTCCAGAGATTGAAAGACCTCAAGCAAAGAGAAGCCACAAGAAATATTTGTGAGTATTTTTTAAAAGTTCCTTGATCAAACACTACTTCCCCATGGCAATGAAAAGCTTGGCACTCTCAAGGGGTACCCACTTTTTGATTTAAAAAACTTATTGATAAAAATTTTATCAATACCCTGGAACAACCTCTGAGCTAAGCAGTCAGGGCATGGCTAACTCACAGATTAAACACTGAAACAACGTCTGAGCTGATCAAAGTCAGGGCACGGCTAACTCACAGATTGGCTCACACATCGGATTGGAATTTAGCATGTTGCGAATCAAGGGAGACCTAACAAACTTTACTCACATGTGGTGCTGAGTCCAGGCATTGAACCCAAGAACCCAGAGGTGAAAGAGGATTGCATTAGTACTACATCAACCTTGATTGACGACCAAGTATATCATGCAATATCACCACTTATTTGATCCATCTGATCCTGTTATTGCATGACATTTAAGTGCCAAAGATTCAACCTGATATAATGTTGTTTCAGATGCGAAAAAGAGAAAAGAACAAAAGCAAATGGAAAAAGAATTACAGAGGCTCCACCTTATAGCAGGACAGAACTCAGGCAAAAAGTAAAATACACAAAAATACATGTACCTTGAGTTGGTAGATTGATGATATTATCTTCCTACCTCCCAACATCTCTTATTCCGTCTTTTCTTCTCCTGGCCTCCTGTGGAAGGTTGAAAGAGTGAAAGAGTAAAGCAGTCCCTCTCAGTCCTAGTCTCTCCAGTTGCATAAAGCTCTCTTAAGATAAGAGAGTTCCTAAGTATTGTTCCAAGACAATAGGCCATTGTACTAAGACAATACTTACGAGTGTTTTTAAGCTTTTTTTATCTTAAGAGAGCTTTATGCAACTGGACCCTAGGGAGGATCTCACGCCAAAACTAATGACAGTAAGTTGCAAAGGACACAGTCCCCTTGCAGCCAAATTATAGACATGTGAAACCCTCCAGTTAGAAAATAGAAAAGAGACAAGAGAGAAGACTGAGAGGGATCTGCATTCCATGAAGGCTGGGATGACATATCCTTTAGAGAATTGGACGAGTGTTGTTTCAGAAAATTACGATACTATCCTATAGGGCATGATGATGGAGATTTGTGGAGCTCGGAATGGAGGTTTTGAATATTGCATGTTCTTCATAGAATTTAGGGGGAAGGGTATGAGGGGATTGATTTGATGGACTTTTATTCCATATAGTGTTGCGTTTCATTGCTAAGCTCTTAATAGCCAATGTGCACAAGCAGGAATCTCTAGCACAAAGCGTGATTGGAAACAGAGTACTACACAAATTAGAATAAAGAAATCAATAGAATTATCACACAAAAAAATTACTCCTTCATTTACATCTGTTGAAATACTCTGTCAGAGGAATTTTAAGAGGAGCTGAAAAACCGTAAGTACTTGGTTTCCCATTATGCTTTGTGCTAGAGATTTGTGCTTGTTTACATTGGCTATTTTCCTGTTCCTTTGTACTATTGTATTAATATGTGCTTTTCTTGAAAAAAAAAAAACTTTAAATTTTACATTTGCCTTGAAATATTACGTCTCATAGGGGAACACAAGGAAGCTTCAAGTCAATCTCTGAAACATTTCAACCAGGTGACAGAAGCTCAAAAGGAGGATTCAAGCCAGTGACAAACTCAGGATTTACAGCAGTTCCCCCACCCCCACCCCCTGAGGATACTGCAGCACCACCACCACCCCCTCCCCCTGAGGATGCTGCATTACCACCACCACCACCCCCTCCCCCTGAAACCAGTGTTGTGCCACCACCGCCCCCTTCTGATGACACTCCTTCACCAAATAATACCAACTCCTCAGCATCTTCAAAAACCTTTTCTGTGAGTTTTGGTGGAAAGTCTTCAACTACTTCCTTTAATAGTGCAAACACTAAAGGTACCTCATTTGGATTGAGTAAGAAACCATCCACCATATCCTTTGGATTGGGCAAGAAACAAGCTGGTAACACATTCGGACTAGGTGCAGCTAAGAAAGGAGTCATGAAGGCTACTCCTTCAGTATTCAATGAGTCAGACAGTGATGAAGAAGAAGCAAAGGATGATCAAAATTTAGGCTCTGGTCTAATGCCAGATGAGGAAGTCCTTCCCTCAACAGAACAACAAAAAGAGCTACTTGGTAAAGTCATTGAATATGCTGAAACACTTCGTGTTAAGGAAGCCCTTCATCCAAAATTGTTGATAAGATTTGTTCGAGGAACTGAAAGTCCCATTTTACCTGGAACTATACAGGATGGCGATGCAAAATCAAATGACAGTAAAGAAAGAAATAATGCAGATAAATATGCAAGTGGAAAGGACTCGCAACGTACTAGTCAAAAAAATATTAGATATAAGGATGAGAGGTACAAGAGGAGGGATGAGAGAAGGGATGAGAGGAGAGATGAGAGGAGAGATGAGAGGAGAGATGAGAGGAATGACGAGAGAAGGGACAGAAGGGAAGCAATTTATAAGAAGAGGTGATAATTCTAGGTCTAGTAACAGATTGTTTGGATACTAAAATGTGTGGAAATAACCTTTTACTTGCTGGTATAATATAATAAAAATATCACTGGAATTATGTTTTGTATGATTTGCTTTCTCAAGTTCATAGAACCAAGTCGTATTGAAACTAAATAACATGTAATTTATTTTTTTATTGAAAACATCATTTTTAATATATCAAAAAAATTACACTTCTCTATTTAAAAGCTGTGTCAACTTTAGACAAGTTGTTTTCTGATTTTTGGTCAAATATTTCAGTCAAATTGATCCGACTTCTCATATCAAGAGACAAATTAAAATTATTTAACCAAAAATGTTTAATTTCTTGATGTTTAATTTTTTGAAGTCTTTTTTTTGTTTTTTGTTCCTCCATATCATGATCCTTACTTTTTAAAAAACGGACTAGCTATAATTTAATTCAATGGAGGTTATTCACTATAGCCTGTGCCATGCCCCCACTGGGCAAGCAGGTATTGTGGGCCACAGTGCAAGGAACAGAGTTCTAGAGGGATGTCACATAACATTTCCTGCAATAAAACTATAAACTATGCAAGGCTAGCCAGTTCTTAGAAAGTTGCAATTATTCTTTGACCAACCACATTTATGCCATTGCCAGCAACGTTGCAGATGGGTTTGCACAATGAAATTTGCTACTTCTGCGGTATTGTGTAAAACATTTGCAGGGATGGACACATTCAACACTGGATGCAACAGTATAAGAGCCTTTACAGCACGTTGGAATTCATTTTAATTTGAAGGACATAACGATAATTTTCCAATTTTTAGTAGATTTAATTCTTTTGTTTTGAGCTCCAAATTGAGCTCCTTTGACAACGCTTGCAAGGGGTCTATTGGTCATCCAGGTCAAGCCCTTTGATGTTACTCTGGCAAAAGGATTTTAACTCTCAACCTCCCAAATAACATTGCATATAATATCTATCTAGGCATCAGTAATTACAGGCAGGGCCAGGGCAATCCTACTGTGTTAGGGCTAACTCTTGTTTTTGGTGTCTCCTTGGGAAAGGGGAAAAAGACATCCCTAGGAATAGGGTCACCTTCATGTAAAAGTAATATTTGATGGATAAAGAATAATTTCAAGATACTATAAATGAGTTGTGATATACTTTTATTGCAATTGTTTTTCACTAGTTTTCAATCAATCAATCTCAACAGGTCTTAATTTTAACAATAATTCTGACAATCATTTCATTTTTCAAGTTTCAAAAATAGCTGAAGTAGTCATATAAGTATATAATTTTATATATTGTAGTAAGTTGTATTTGCATTTTTTCAGGCAGATATTTTCATACGTAGTAGTTCATAGATAAATATAGTCAAGTTCAGAAGAGTTAAGAATATACAGTTTCATCTGAGTAATTGAAGAATATACAAGATATAAAATAGAACTAACTTTGATTCATAATTTCAAAGCAATAAGTATTCTTGGAAAATTTAAATACACCTTACAACATCTCAGGGAAACACACTTTTTGTTACAGATAAATTTTGCTGGAAAATTACATTTAAAAAAAACAGTCATCTATCACAGGTAGCATTAAAAAAACGAGAATGGTGAGCAAAAGTATGTCAAATATACGGTTAGGTAAAAGATAGAGTGACTTTACTTCACCCATTAATAAATAGTCCATGTTATAAACAATTATTGGATGAGAATTTGATGATATCCAGAAAATTACCAATGTTATTGTTAATTTATACATTCTTAACAAACAACCTACAGATAACCGCTTTCCTCTGATGACCTACTATGATGCAGGCTCGTTTTTAAAGATAACTGCCTACAGATAACTATCAACCACTGGGAAAATGCTGGCTCATGCTGATAGCTAGAATTATCTGTAGGTTGTTGGCCAGTGAGAATTTAGATAGTGAGTACAATGTATAATAATACATATTTAATTAGTAGACACTTAATTCCATTGTTTTCTTTTAGTTTTACTTGGAATGTTGATCATAAATTATGCAAGTTTGTTTAATGGGCCAAGTAAAATCACTCTAATAACCATGGCATTATGGCATTATTATGAAGATTAGCTGAAGCAAATTGGCATCAGGTAAGATTTAGCCAGTATGCACAATAAACTTATCAAAAAGAACTTTCTAATTAGAGCTATAAGCATTTTGTACAATTTATTGTTGAGTAGTTTACACTTTTAGTACATTTTCATGTGTTTACACCAAATCAAAATATGGCAACCAATAATTGTAAAACAATTCTGGACTGACTGGCCTCTCATACATGTGAAAATGTTTCTATGTGAACACAAGGCTATAACAGTCCAGAACAATAGTTATTCAAATTGACCACTATAAATCTCGATTAGGTGTATTGTTAGTGGTCTCTATATACCAGCTAACTATAAGTGACGTGCATCTTGCCACAATTCAAACCATAAATACAAGGCAATTCTTCCTCAAAATCTAATACGAATTGCTAGCTCTTTTTGTTTGTAATCATGAGGGAGGGAACTAAAAAAGGTAAAACTAACAACAACAACAAAAACCTGATAGAAAAACAAACTAGAAGCTATTAAGCAAAACTTAAGAATACAAAAATGTCTTGCGTATCTGATAAAAATAGATTTGCATAAACTTTCAGAACTGAAGTGTCTTGTATTGATGCTAGATGCCTGCATCTGTGATAAGCTGAATATACATGACCACTGGTTATCTGTATCATTCTATAGAACTGCTATTTTCATAATCATGCGAACTCTGAGGTTGCAATTTGCCCATTGGCATTTGGTTTTTGGCTGCGGCCAGTCAAATATATGCAAGGTACCCACTGATTATTTTTTAATTGACAGCAGCAAAAAAACCACATTTCAGCATGCAGCTCGCCGCTACCAAATTCGCATGTTTATGAAAATAAATGTCTAAATGCTAAACTAAATATAAAAGATGTACTGTAAAAAATAGCTGTTTTTCACTTTTGGCTTATTAAACAGACGACTTATTCAGCTTGGGTGTTATAAGCATGTTCTCTTTTTTGACCACATTATATAAAGTGTTATACTTTTATTCACTAGATGTAATATTAGTATTGTGATTGTCGAGATATTGGATGTGACGCAAACAAACATTTCAAAAATGGAAGTGGTCTGAAATGGGAAAACATTACGCCCAAGCTGAGTGGGTCCATTGTTTTATTACTGTAATGTACATATTAAAGTAGCACAAGAAATTGATATCAAAGTATGAGTTTAAATAAATATAACAACCCAATATAATTATTATTGAGACTATTGCAATAATTAGAGATTTTGAAAGAGGTTTCTGAAAATGGTCGAGCCAATGATAAATTATAATCTTTTCTTAAGACTAGTATTAAAGAGCAATGCAAGGAAAAACATACCCTGCTGGCAAGGCAGGTATAAAAGTTAGATATGATCGGATTGGATTGGATCAGAATATTTGAATTTTATTTGAATTTTTTTATTTAATAATATGACTGGTTCACCGTTAAAAAGAGGGCACGAACGTGTCTTGAGAAAGGTATGTAGCCCATCAAATGAAATATTCACAAAATGAAGGCTATCAAATCAAATATTTCAATAATTCAAATAAAATTCAAATATTTTGATCCGATCCGATCCGACTCTAAAAAGGAGGCTCTGCCTGCAGCACGGCAGAAAAAAAGAATAATATGAGCTAGCTAGGGTATAATATGACCACCATTCTTTTGGTTTTTCAATATAAATCGTTCTACAGCTGTGTTAAAAATAGCGATTATTTGGATTAACAATAACCCAAATATAAGGACATTTTAAAGCATATGAAATATAAACAACTTGATTTGCATTTAATAATAATTATTAATAACTTAACAATGTTAAATGAAGTCAAGTTATTGAAGATTGATTCTGAAGATGAATTGAATTACTTTGCAATAGATTTGGAATTATTTTAATGATTTACATTTAGCAAAGTAATGTGAATGTGTAGATAACTTATTTATTGTAATTTTTTAATATTTTACATTCTTTAATATAAGATAAATATAAAGCCAGAGTCTAATTTTTTTCATATTGATATACTGTGTCTTTCATTAAAAGGTCCATCTTAATAAACTGGTTTAAAATATTTTTTTCAGATGTTGCATGTAAGAAACAGTATTAACTGCTAGTACTAGATTTTCGTAAACTCACTTAACTATTGCTGGATATAAAAAATAGCATTTAGAAATTGTCGTACAAAAGATGGAGCTTAATTCAAAGTTGTCCTTTGAAAAATAATATGAGGTTGTTTGAAGAGAAAATCATCAAGCGGACATTTTTGACACTTTGAAAAATCAGACAGATATAGTTCAATTATTATAATAAAGATAGTTGTCATATAAAACATGACAGCTTAAGGTAGTTTTTCGATGGTGGTGGCTACACTGATATGATGCATGATTATTAGAAGTAAGCTGGGTTTTTAATGTTTTCCCATTTCAGACCAGAGTGTCATTTCTTAGAGTATCATTTCTTAGCTTTGTTTAATGGTTGTGCATGATAAGACACATGAATAATATGAATGCAACTGAAAGATTATAGGAATCTTATTGTGTCCAGAAAATTATCCATACTCCACTCATGGAGGAAATTGGAAATTCTGGAGGGGAGGGGGTTCAGAGAAAGAAGAAAATTATGCAGACTTTGTATGGAAGAAAATGGAAGTTTCTGGGGGTAGGGGGGTCCTTTTACAAATTCCCTCCATATGGTAGGGTTATGGATATTTTCTGAAACTACACAATCCCAAGAGAATGATGTGATATGAAATGGGTTAACATTATACCTGAGCTAAAAACAACAGCATTTGCCATATATGTCAGACTTCATTTTTAAGTAAGTTCCAGTAATTTGCCAATATATCCAAGTATTTCACAGACCTAACTAGTTGTAAAAAAATAGTTATCACAGTCCTAGATAAAATCACACTGTTTTATGTTCCCGACAGATTAATTGAAATGAAACAACAGCTGAACAAACCATAAAGTAAATGCTAATTAAATAATGTTTGATAAACCTAATTTTTTTGTCAATAATATTAATAAATGGTTAAAATGACTATATATAATATATGTGACCTATCTTTCAGAAAAATGTTGTAGATCGGAGATCTAAAATGGGCAATCAAGACTAAGCTAACTTGAAAGTCATGTATCCAATCTAAAAGGATACTATGTTGCTCGGCTGTGAATATATTACAATTTGCAGCATGCTACTCGTTCTGAGATTTCAGATTTCCGACTGACAATGTTTTTTCTTTTTGAAATAGGCGATACACACAATTATTTAAACAATTTGTACACTATAATGTACCTATGACTGAAAAGAAGTTCACACTCCATGCATGATGAAATGTTTACTAGTTTACAACTATTGTACAAGAAAGTGAAGACGATGATTACAGTAAAAGTGTTTTGTAAAATTAATGCAGCAAATGCCTTGATAGCAGAGGTTGATGTAATGGCTTTCTATTAGGAAAAGGATTTTTTTTTTTGCTGGGAATTTTTTATCTAATTTCATAGTCTAAGCAAGCAAAATAAAAGGACCCACACAATGGGGACATTGCAAATTTAAAGTTAAAATCTTTGACAAAAAGCCAAGCAATAAGGCCTCTGAGGGCAAGACATTTAAACAATTATACCAATGACGAATAATATACAAATAACAATGTCTACATCACAAGATCAATATGTAAGCCACAGCTGACTTACATTGTTAAATATATTTATTATAATATAATATAGATATATTTATGTATAGAATATATAATATATGCATGATATTTCACCAATTAAACCTTGAAAAAATATTGATACCAAGTTTCAATTTTTGATTTAATCACCCCGTAGATGAACCTGTGGCCATATTAATGGAATTATTTAGTTTGATATATAGTATCAACGAGTCTTTTTATATTGAAGATTCACAAGGAGATTCCCAAGACTATATTAGCCCTAGGGTTTTAGTACGGGCAATAAGACACCTACCCTTAAGATGGGAAGTGACCTCCAAGTGTCTCTATATCAGAGATAATTCAGATAATTATGTGCCTGCACAAAAGTCCATGAAGATTAATAAGCATAATTATTATTGCGCCAATCAAAGCAGTACCTTTCCATGCTGCTTCATGATCAAATACTCAAATGAGTATGTCATATGAAGGCGTGACCACTGATGTGGTTCAGTGGTCAGATATGAGAATGTAGTGTGTGTCGCGGGTTTTTTGGTGGCGATGTAATTCTCTACGGCAGGAAAGACTTTATATTTACTCAGGGAAAGCATTATCGATGTTGCTTCAGAAACTGGTTCCAGTTCAATGGGTTCAACCTTGACCTGAGGAGAAAAAAGAAAAGCCATTAGAATTCTAGTATTTTCAAAGATTAAATTAAATCTTACTATGTTATAGATTGAATAATAAATTAAAGAACATGGGCTTGAGAGAACATAAGAGAAGTGTTAGGAGAAGCATGATGCATAGCACCTGCTGTTGCTCTCATAAAGCATGCACTTGACAATCAACTGACCACAAAACGTTAAAAACTTTTATAACTAATTTTCATAACTAATGTTTAATTTTTTAAACTAATTTTAAAATTTATTACATATAGTCAAAGAAGATCTCTGTCCCACAAGAAAACATGGGAGACAGAGGCCCTAAATACAGGTTTTTATTATTCCTTCCCCTCGGTCCATACTCATTGCCTGGGTGGATTCATTTAGACACTACTGACTAGGGAGGGATTTCTTTAATTTATTCATGTTTTCCATTTCAGAACGCATGTTAGTCCTTTGAAAATGATATTAATTTGTCCCAGTTATGTCCATAGAGGACTACAGTCATTTACTAAAATGTTATCAGGAGAGAACAAAGAAATAGCATTCAAGGGAAGTACACAGTCATATGGTTGTCTTAAATAGGAAACCTTACACTCAAGCTTTTAAAGGCCAATTCTAATCCTCTCTTTAGTGGATGGGTTGGATATATATTGGTACTTTTTTTCTCATGCTGTCAGTAAGATTTGCCCTACTTTAGTTTTTGGTCATCGTGAGGCCAATATTTCGAATCTTGATTTTTTGGCTGTATTATTTATTTTATTAGAGCATCAGCTATAAGGTCATACCTCTTTCTTGTAATCTCTTTTGATGCTTTCAACTTCATCTCTACAGAGTTTGCACACATAGATGATCCTGGCGTCTAGCTGAAGTCTTTCATAGATTTCTTGAGTTATGTTATCACATGAAGCATGAACCCACCTTAAGAAAAATGCAAAAAGGGATCAGTAGGTCCAACAGAAATAGCAACACAATAGATATTGTAAGAATACTATTAATATTGAGGTCAGGATTCATAATAATACTTGAAATATTTGTCTCTGACTTAAAATATTTACAGACATTTCGATGAGTGACCACAGATCTACTTCAGTGTGCAGTTGGTATTTGGGCATGTGCATTTTGAATGTTGGTATTAGCGCACGTTAGAGTCCCATACAACAGTTCTATGAATTTCTGGATGCTTGATAAAGTCATTCTTTGACTTAGGATCTTCCATAGAATATCAAGCTTCTTAAAATTTGAAACATTGAGACATGAGCAGCACCTGTACCTACCTAGTACAAGAGTCACACTGTACTACTTTCTCCTGTACATTATGATGGTGACACAGTGGACATCCATTGGCTTTATGAGTCTGGTAATAACATCCATTACACAGTGAATAGTCCATGTACCACTGACTTGCTTTCCTTGACCCACACTGCCTGCATTTACGACATTGCTGCAAAAATATACCATTATGCTATATAAGCAACAGCAGATCCAGGATTTTGGAGGAAAGTAGCAGTTAGCAAGGTCACCACCATTAAACATGAAATCTTAGGGTTGCCAATCGTAACTTTGGGCAAGTTGACAAGCAAGTGCCTGACAAATGCACAGGAGCCAATTAACACTACAAGCCATAAAATGGACCTTTTATTTTGTAAGCACTTTTTTTCCCTGACAAGAAACTATATAAATTTCTCAAAACATTTCCCTTTTTGTCAAATTTTAAATAAAATTACAGAATGGTAACCTGTATTTTAGGGCTACATTACTAACACCACTAGAAAACTATGAGGTTACTGGTTAGAAGCATAAATAGACACATCACACACTTACTTCACACTTCCAGTTCAGCCCTTTCATTGATGATAATAGCTCACAACAAAATATGTGACAAGCCTTGTTACATGTTCTGCACACAACAAGCTTTTCTAGGCTGGACACTTGCCTTTAAGTAAAAAAAGGTAGGTAAGGAATGCATGTATTAATAAAAAACAATGTATCATTCTTCTTTTCTTCATTCCTTCCTTCGTCCATTTTTTTTCATTTGCCCATGCCATTCACTTTGTCTCCCTTCTTTCCTCCCTCTCTCCCTCCCTCCTGCCTGCCTTCCTTCCTCCCTTCTTCCCTCCCTCCCGCCCTTCCTTCCTGCCTTCCTTACTTCTTTCCTTCCTGCCTTCCTTACTTCCTTCCTTCTTTCCTTCCTTCCTTCCTTCCTCTCTCCCTTCCTTCCTTCTTTCCTTCCTCCCTCCC